GAGCCACTCTACCAGCCCTTTTTTGTGAAGGGTATTTTCGAGATAGGATCTCGAGAACTATTTGCCAGGACTGGCTTTGAAACCATGATCCTCCTGATGTCTGCCTCCTGAGTAGCTAGGATTACAGGCGTGAGCCAGTAGCACCCAGCAACAGTACTGTTCTTGACCTAAGTGAAGACCCATACCTGCAAGACTTCTCTATCAGCTTCAACCCCTTTTATCATTCTCTGTTCACCCTTCAAGTCTGGGAAGGAAAGAGAAGGCAGGATGGAGTGCCAGTCAAGAGTATTGCCCTTCCCCTACTCCATTCTCCCCTCTCCGGTCACCGATTTCTGACCGGCTGTCGATCCTATCAGGGGTCCATAAAGCTGGGAGGACTCTGGCCCGGGAGAGGGGGGTAGGGGTTAGGCAAACAGGCCAGGGAGGCAGTTGGTTGAAATTTAACCACAATATTCTTGGTCTCTATTGTTTTGAGTGAGGCCCAATATTTCCACAGCAGGATTATAGGCTCTGATTAACTATGTTAGACAACAATACCGAGCTGGGATGGGCTTCCCCTTCCAGCTGCCAATATGAAAAAGTAAATACACCCAGATTTCAGAAGGGACTCCCAGCAGCCCCCAAGCCCTACTCCCCAGTTCCACTTCTGCCACTGTTTTGGGCCCCAAAGTGAGAGAAGGAAGAGTGGCAAACATGCTCCTTTAAGTACTGGCCCTTAGCCCAGCAGGACAAGTAAGTAATACTGGCACAATCTTCCCAGGTGAGTCAATGGCTGTGTGCTCCCCACACCCTGAAGTTCTTTCAGTGCCTCTTCCGGGTTCCCCTGAAAGGCTGGCCCAGATTCTCAGAAATCCTTGAGAACTGGACGCCCAGAGGCAAGCACTCATTTAAAGGGGTCTAAGGTGTGGAAAGTATTGAAAGATCTGTTGGTCTCCAGATAGAAAAACTGAGTGGGGGTGGGACTTACCAGCTCAGAAGAATACTTAGTGCTACCTAATGGCATCCTATGTGCCAGGGTAGAGAGATGAGACCCCAGGACTGAGGGGATACAAAAAAGACAGTTACGGAGTATCAGGAAGGGTGGGGAGTATCTCAGAGGTAGAGCATACCTGAGATCCTGGGTTCAATTCCCAGTACTGCATGCAGTGGGGAAAAATTATTAGATGGGAAAGTATTCCTTAAAGGGTTCTGGGATGAAAGATGGAGAGGATGGATGGTTTTCCAGCTCCTCAAATAGAGAGGGATTCCTTAAGTCCCTGTTCCTCACACACAGACAAGCTGCCTGGTGCTCTCATCTTGTTGGATGTTTCCTCTCAGAATGTGATCTTCTGAGAGCCTGGCAAGAAGAACAAGGAGGGACCTAGAGCAATAAGGAGCCCTGGACATGAGTGTCCTATGGCAATGTTCTGGCATGGGGGGAGGTGTCAGAGAAACTAGGGAATCCCCTCTCCAAAATGTGGCTCCTTCTTCTTCCTGTGTTTCTGTATCTAAAGGCCTAGTATAATCCATTACAATTTTGCCAGCTCATACATTTATGAATGTTGGTAACAGGGACTGACAATCATGGTTCTTGAGTTGTGAGTTTGGTGGTTTCCTTGCAGTATGTTACTCGTCTGGAACAGTTTCTTCTTCAGGAATACTACAAGACAAACTACTCAGGGCAGAGCTCAGAAAAACGTATCTTGATTCTTTGAAAACCCGGTTAACAGAGTTGTACTCTTCATTATCATAATACCACCACAATGATATTTTCTGACTTAGGGTTAAAAATTGACCCTCTTCTCATGGAGTATAATCTAAAGAAAAGTGGAAAAAAGCCACATGGGAAATGTGCCTATTAATATAGATTACATTTTTCACATAATAGTGAGCAGTAAGCAGAATAAAGTGAGTTCATATCAGGAGGAAGGATTGTTGGGAAGATTTGGGTTTCCCCTGGACTCTTTGGAGAAAATCTTCCTAGTTTTCCTAGGAGAAAAATGAGGGACAAAATAAATGGAGAGAAGAAAATTGTCCCTGGTGTAAATCCAGGACCAGGAGAACAGGCTCAGCCCTCTGTATGGCCTACTCCTGCTGTCATCTTTGCACAGAGTACACAGGGGCTCCTGCTATCTCCCAAGAGACCCAGTCTGGAAAGAAGCAAAGGTTTGGGACATGGGAGGCTTAAGTGAACAGGAAGGAAAGAAAAGGATTTCAAATGTACCAAAGGATAAAAACAAGAAGCACTAGGGCCAAGTATCAGGAGAGGTGGCACCTCTCCTCTCCCAGTGCCCATGGTTAGGGGCTGTGCAGCTGCTCTGGAAGACAGTACTGGACTCTGCCAGTCTAGAGCACAGAAGCACAAATGTCACTCTTTGACACCTTATGCCCTAGGGATTTCAGGGTGAGCTCCTTGGGCTTCTAGAGAAGACAGAGCCCAGAAACTTCCTTCCATCTTCCTTTCTCAGTAACTTCACTATCCCTTGAAAACTTCTGGATCTGGGAGGCTGGCTCCTAGTGGCAGGAGAAGAGAAAGCCTCTACTGGTATTTTCCGGGACCCAACTTGGACTCTGCTTTTAAGGGCTGCTGGGAAAGCCCCATGAGGTATGAGATAAGGGGGTGCTTCCCAGCTGAAGTGCAGGGAGGAGGATCTCCCTCCCAGCAAAAAGTGTGCCTGTCCTAGCTAACTGCCAGCCAACAGCCAACCAAGCCAAGCAGGCCTTGCAACCTAGGTGGCGCTATTTCTCTACTTTTTAGGTCAAGTTGCTGCAGGAACTTCCTAGAGGTCTCAAGTCCTGCTCCTGGTTTGCTGGCTTGCTCGTGTAAACCACCTTATATTATTTTTTTTTCTAAAAATACTCCAAAGCAATTGAAAGAGTCCCTTCTCCCACCAGCCAGCCCTGGCCCCAGCCCTGGCCCCGGGGAGCAGGCGGGTAGGCGGGGAGGTGGGCCACTGCTTTATTAAACACAGGGAAAACTAATATTTACGGAATAAAATTTATGGAGCAGCCACGAGAATTCGACCCTTTTATGTGCATGTGGAGTGGGGGTTGGGCAAGACTGGGGGCCTTAGGGAGGGGCCCAAACCAGGGGGCAGGGCTGGAATACAGCCTGGCTAGGCCAATTTGTCAAAGAAGGGATTTCCCTGGAGTTGCCCTGGGATGAATGATTCTCAAACACCACCCCTAGCTCAAGGGTAAGGGCTTCAGGGGGAGGGATGCCTGAGGCAGGGCCTCTGGCAGCAATATTTCTCTAAGGACTTCTTAGCAATACCCCATGTAGGGAGCAACCTTTGGAAATACAGGGAGCAGTGGACAGGAAGGTTAAGAGGCATACTTAATCTTTTGAAAAAGCCACACAATCTTATGAGAACACGAACAAAGTTATGCTCTTAAGATTTTCCTTACAATTTTAGGGGATGCACAGGCTGCTGGCCCCCCCATGATTAAAAATGCCTGCCTGAGACTGCTATTTGGGAAGAGGGATTATCTAGAGTGAAGAACCCATATTTTCTCCATTTTCCATGTGATCTCATGTTGCAGACCCTGAAATCTGGCTAACTAAATTATGCCCAAAACAAACTAATGGACAAAGTGGGTCACCAGATAGACTGTTTTTACATAGTTTACTGTTCGTTTTGATGACAGTGGCTACCGCTGGGCACACCCTGGGATACTGTGGTCTGTAGGTAAAGAAAAGTGATCAACAGCAACAGGGAATTATCCCTGGTGGTGCTCTCAGGTGCTGCTGGCAGGGAAAGGCAAGGACATTAAATCCCGGAGTCCTCAGAGGCTCTGGCCTTGAAGAACCCACAGGGAAGACAGCAGGGTCACAGGATAAAGGTAGCTAACATAGAAGATCGAAAGAGGACCCAACAGCCTTCCTAGAAAGTGTTTTCAGTAATCTGTATAATAATGCTGATAAAGCTGTTTTATTTCAAATTCTGGCTGTCACTTATTAGCTGTGTGACCTTTAATAAGTCACTTAATCACTTTAGACTCAACTTCCTAGATGAGTTAATGGTATCTTCCTCAGGTAATACTGTGAGGATTCAATGTCAAGTGCTTATTAGACTACCTGGTATACAATAATTGCTCAATAAATATTAATAATTTATTACTATTGTTCTTATTATAATTAGTACTTTATTATCATTTGGATGGTCCTCACCCCATTGCTTGACATCAATGCACAAACAGCAATCTCAGCAAGAGAAGAAACATGAATGAGAAGGCCATCAAAAGTAAGGATACTAGAAAAGATCTCTGCATTCTGCTCTTGACGCCTTCCTTTAACTAAGGGTTTCTAGTGAACATCTGAGTTCACTTTTATTCCTATCTCTCCAAGGTCAAGTTTCACTATAAAGGAAGACCTTGCAGAGAAGGTTAAGGGACTATGCAAGCCTAAGAGTAACTATCTCAGATTCTGCCTTTCTCTTTTTCCTGCCAAGCACTTTAGTTCCATAGGCCAATTCTGTTGACCCAGGGAATTCTAGGGTCATTTCTTATTCCCTGTCATCTTAGTTCTACTTACAACATTATTTAAATTGGAGTGGAAAATGAGAAAGTTAAATTCCTTTTTCTCCCATCCATGGGAACCTACTTCTACCCTAATGCTAGATTAGAATCTGATGCTATGGTTTAACCTGTTGTCTATGCCTGTAAAGCCAACAGAAAAACACATCCAAGTCTGGTGAAGGACAGTAGCAGTCCGTCTGTCCTATGTTCACCATGGAGAGAGTTCTCAACATTAAAACTTCTGAATGTGATTAAACTCAGGCCAGTCATAGCAGAAAAGCTTACAAAGAATCTGAAGGTCAGACTGAGGGCTCAGACTTCACCCAGAGACAAAGGTACCCAGGGTGGTGACACGGGCTATGAGTTCCACATATTAGTAGGGGCTGGTGGTGTGTCTTGGTGATAGAGTGCTTGCCTAGCATGTATGAGGCCCTGGATTCCATCTCTAGGACTGAAAAAAAAAAAAAAGAGAGAGAGAAAAGAAAAAGGAAAAGGCAGAGGAGTGCATGTGCTTTTTATTCCGCACTAAAGAGAGAACTGAGTCTCTGAGGAGCATTTGAACAGGCTGGGGACTAGTGAGAAAGGTAGAAGGCTTCCTCAGCATGTTGTGCCTGTTTGTGGACTTGTTCCACAAAAAGTCCATGGTAGGGTCCTGGGCCTAGAGAGCCTACACTGAAGAGAGGACGGTATGGCATTCTCAGAGACTGGCTTCGTCAAATAGGAAGGCCAGTGCCCAGTGAGTTGGAGCCAAGCCTTTTTGGTGAGCAGTCCCATTCAGGTGGCCTATGAACATGAACTAAGTTTTCTTGCTCAGCGGTGGGCCTCTGATTGTGATTCTATTTTAGAGATACTCTATCATTTGAGCTCTTTTCCAGGTGATGCTGGGAAGCTGTTCTCCTGCTCCATCCTCTGCAACTAAGACCATGACAGGTTAACTGAAAAGCCCTCTTGGCTTCTTCCTCTTGACTTTTGATAGCTGAGATCTCTGCACAGGGCCTGAAGCAACCTAGAAAAAAAGGAACCCAAGTTAAATAGGGTTTTGAAACAGATTCATGTTAGGAAAGGAACTTTCTCTCTCTCATGGCTCCTGGTTAGGACAAGACTATCTTGAAGTATCTGACATAAGTGTTTTTAAGCCTATGTTAGGCAGTAAATGGCTAGAAGACTCTCAGCAGGAGATGCATACATGCCTTCTCCCAGAAGTCACACCCCACAGATCATCACTGAAGTGCAATAAGGTGAAAGAGGAGTTAGGGTTCATCATTCAGTCCAAGAATAGCAGAGAAGAGCCAGTAAGGGAAAATGTGAAAGACCAGGAGTCTCCACAATTTGGAATTACCTCACAAATCTCTCTCAATATTACTGAGGCAGTGTCAACTATGTGACAATTGCAGGGACCACTGGTTTGGGAGTTATAGGTGCCAAGTTTTCTAACACTCAGAAGGCCATCAAGGAACTGTTCACATATGACTCACCATGGGCTTCTGCTCAGGTGCTAAGAGTACTGGAGCTGAGGAGACTGGCTGTTCTGGCTGGTTCAGAAGGTGGCTATCAGTTCCTTGAGGGGAGGCTCCGCTTGAAGTCTGAGTCTCTCCTGAAACCAGAAAGATCAAGAAAAGATAGTGAGAAATGCCTCCTTCTTACCAGGAAGACATTAGCATTTATAAGTAAGTATTCAGATAAAGTCCAACTCTGGTACGAATAAATTAGCAGTCAGAAGTAGCCACAAATCCAACTTCCAACTGATTTTTGGAAAGCTCTGTTTCTAAGAAGATTCCCCAGGCCCACTTTCAGAGGGTAGAATGAGAGTTTCATTGACTCACAAGAACTGATTGTTCCTGTATATGCCCTGATAGCTCTCAGTAGGGAAATTAATCTCCCACTGATTTTTCTTTTCTTTTCTTTTCTTTTTTTGGCGGTACTAAGGTTTGAACTCTGGCTTTGTACTTGCTAAGCAGGCACTCTACTGCCACTGGTTCTCTTGCTAACCCTGGGCCAGGGACAACTAAGGTCTTTCTGCAGTGAGGGAAGTGTTCTGTATCTGCCATTGGCCACATGTGACTACTGAGTGTTTGAAATGTAGTTAGAGAACATGAGGACATTTCTCACTTAATTTTCTTATTTAATTTTAATGTTTTCTTTTTTGGTGGTACTTGGGATTGAACCCAGGGCCTTGAGCATGCTAGGCAAGTGCTTTATCACCTAAGCCATCCCCTAGACCTTACTTGATTTAAATTTAAATACATGTGGCTAGAGCTAACTCTATTGGACCACACAAACCTAGATCCTAACTCTAACCCCAGGCAGACCAGGTTTGCCTGAAGCTACTCACCAGTGCCTTGATGCATCTGTTCTGCTTGGACCTCCTGTTTGGTGACTGCCACATACAAACTCTGCAGATTCATGACAAATGGCCTTCCATCACCAAGGCTGCATGCTTCCGGTAGTTTCTACAGAGAAGAGGAGATACTACCAATGGTCAGTCTGGCCAGTGAAAAGGAACTGGATATTCCACTGGCAGAACAAATTTATGTAAAATTTATATAAAGTAGTTAGATCCAACTTGGGCTTTCATATCCTAGCCTGCTGGCATCATATAAAGACTTCCTGGGAGGTGTTCTCTGAAAGGCAATTCTAAATGTCTCTATTTCCTCTAGTTCTTAGGCCTGTTATGCCTTCTCATGAATATGCTACAGGTCTCTGGGCGCTTTCTTCCCAAAGAGATGACTTCTCAGAGGACTATTTTAGGAAATCATCTTCCCTAAGTATCTCTAAACTATACAGTTTACTATTTTAACCAAGTTTACTCCTAAACTTCCACACTAGATAGAGAAAAAGAATGAAATCCAGGATAGGAGAAAGAGCACAAAATAGGGATACAGATTGAGAAATAAGAAAAAATGAGCCAGGCTCCAGTGGCTCATTCCTATAATCCTAGCTACTTAGGAGGCTGAGATTGGGAGGATGGTGGTTTGAGGCAGCCCAGGCAAAGAGTCTACAAAACTCCATCTCCAAAATAACCAGAGAAAAATGGACTGGAGGTGTGGCTCAAATTGTAGAGCACAAAGCCCTGAGTTCAAACCCCAGTCCCACTAAAAAAAAAAAAAGTGGCGATGGGAAATAAAGCTGACAAAGCTTTGGAGGCCTACCTGCCATTTTATAGTCTCTACTGCAATCCCACTGTGCTTTACTATAATCCAGACATCCTCAATGGAGGTGGTATTTCCCCTAAGGGAGTGAAAGTTATTTTTTGAGGGGCAACAGAAGTTACTCTTTTGAAGTATAACACTCACATATGTATATGTATTGTACATATAGTACATTTTTGACGGATCTGTAATATTATAATTTCCTGAGGTGATTAGGAAGGCAGCCATGCTCACTATTATACCACCAATACCACATGGCCTGGCCTCCTGAGGTGACTGGGAAGAAATGTCTTGAAAGGGTCCCCGGGGAGGAGATGATGAAAAAAGGATGAAAAGCTCTGTTATATTTTCTTGGGCTGGTGGGGTGGCTCAAGTGGTAGAGCAGCTGCCTAGCAAACATGAGGCCCTGACTTCAAACCCCAGTACTGCCCTCCCCAGAAGAAAACAACTATATTTTCTTCACTATGGAATGAACTGTGGATTCACATCCACAGCAAAATGCTTTGCCTATCTAATTTCATGTTCTTAGTTGAACTGAGCCAAAGTTATGGCTGAAGACTGAACAAAGAGCAATAAAAATGAGATGAAAGAGTATGGTGTCCAGTGGTCCCAAATCTGGTTGCTCTGCAGAAGCCTGGAATGGGACCAGAACTGCTTCATCTGTCCCTAGGCATGCCAATTGTTATGGTTCCTAGTCAAGTTAGCAGGTCCCCAAAACAGCCATGCCAGCAGCTTATATGGGAACCAATCCAAGATTCCTTGGCCATGAGACTGGCACATATCTCATGTCAAAGACACCTTTCCTGTGCTATAAGGACATTCGTTTCTGAAACCACCTGTGAGAGGAGAATGGAAGAGAAAAAGTGTGAGAAGCAATCAAATAGGTGCTGAACCACAGTCAGGATTACAGTTATCTTTCCCTGAATTGGGTGGTAGATGAAGAACTTACTGATCTCCAGGAAATAAAATGTTCATTTCCATTCCAAACCTACCTCCATAAAGACTATCCCAGGCTTCAACTTTCTTTTTATTGTAATGTAACATTAGGTTTCAGTACAGCTTGGACTTTAACTAGAAACCAGAAGTCTAAACTTTGCCTCTAGCAGAATGACACTATGAGTTATCACACCAGTCATCTTCTGCAACACTCCCTGATGAATGACCTGAAATAGGGAAGGCAACCTATCAGGCCATGCCACCTCTACTCTACCTCACTCTCCTTTCTAAGTTCATCTTTCTAATACTAAAGCCACTTGCTCCTCTCCAAAAGAAGGTCCTCTACTTGATAAGCAGAGGGCCTTGGTAGTGGAGAGGCAATCAACTGTTCTCCTTCCTTGGATCTCTAGACTCTCCCTTCATACTGCTTAAGAAATGTAGCCTCTCTCAGGATCATTTATACACAGCTCGGCAGGCACTGTACAGTCTGTACAAATGGGCTAGGCAGAATCTAGGTAGTACAGGGTCATTGCCTCCTGCCCTTTTTATGGAACTAAACAGACTCATAAATTTTCCAGGCTGATCTTTACCCAGCTCATGTATTTAACTTCAAAATGAAGTGTTAGAAGTGAAAGGCCATTTAAGCCAGTGTTGCCCTGGACCTAAGTCCAAATCTAGAACCTTATCTTAGCTCTTCCTCTGTCCTTCCCCTTCTCAGAGAGATCTGGTCCGCAGCTGCTGCCAAAGGTTATCCCACCCACATATCTATTCTCAGAAAAGTACTAAGAAGAGAATATCATTATATTTGCTAAATATTTACTAAGTGCTAGGCACTGTTCTAAGTACTTTAATCATTAACCCATTTTTGTCTTATTCACTATTATTTTCCTGGCATCCAGAAAAACCTCTTACCCATAGTAGGGGCTCTATAACTATGTATGAATGAATGAACAAAGTAGATACTAGCATGAGTTTATTTGGCTGAGGTAGTTAGTCACAACTAGTAAGTGATACAGCAGGATAGAATCTAGACAGTCTGGCTTTAGAACCCACATATATAAACGCTACCATATTTACTTGTCTGAACTTCAGAATTTTAATCAAAATGGCAATCCAGCCTCTCCAAGGATCACTACCCACAATCTCTCCTAACATGGTTTATCTGTCATCCCCAAGGTGACAAGAAAACAGTAAGCAGATAAAACAGAGGCAGATGGTCTGGACCCTTAGGGAGTGAGAGGCCACACCTGTAATTCCATTTCAGTCACCCTCCATTACTTATTCCTTAGACATCATCTTAGAATATTCTAGGAAAGAGAAGTGGGGAGGCCTGGGCTTGGTAAGGAGAAACATTAGGTCCCAGCACAGGACAATGGCAGGAGCAAGGTGGGGCATGCAGCAGAGATCAAAGCGAGAATGCTGGAGTCAGGACTAAGCAAAGCAAATAGTGTCCCCTGCTGTAAGTATGCCTGAGCCAAGAGCACAGTGTACCAGTCACAAAGCTGGTCACTGCCCAGAGTGGGAGGAGAAGAAGAGTCAGGTTAACCTACTGTGTAACCTGTTCATCTGATTAGCATGGAGTCAGTTCTAGCCAGTGAAAATGTCATTGGGACTCGGGGTGGAGAATGGAGGTGTTAAAGCTTCCCTCCGCAGAACAGGTCTGAGTCAAAACAATGATAATAAATAAGAGTCCTGCCTCTAAGAATTCAAATTTGCATGTGGGAGATAAGATGTTTGGTTTCGTTTTCAAGTGATTTGCTATAACATAGTTTAAGCAAAGGGCAATAAAACCCAAAGAAAGCAATGAAATCCAACTGAGAGTTCTGAAAAAAGGTTCAGAAGTGGTAACATCAAGGCAAGTTAGACTCTCAGAGTGGTGGAAGTGTGCAAGGCACAGAAGTGTGAAAAGACAGGATATATGGTTATATCTTGGGAAAGTGCAACTAGAAGGCTAAATTCACATCCACAGATTGTAAAGGACTGTGATTTCTGAATTAAGATTATGCCCGTGGGAATTTCCTTGTTTCACAAAGTGACTTTCTTCACTATGTAACTGTTTGCCAAAGCTTCCTTGACTCTAAACTAATACTGAAACAAATGATGAGGACTCAGAAGCAGACTTTAGCTTCACTTTTTATATTCTTGGCTACACTTATATAAACTCTTAGTACTTCTTCACACCTCTGTTCCTATCTCTGAGAGCTATTTTACATTCCTGAGACAATTTTCTAGGACTTTAACTCCCGTTTACAACCACATCAGAAACTTTAGGAAAACTTAAGTTATAGAATCCTAAAATGCATTTTATTCCCCCTTCTTATTCCTACTGCAGTCCATCTTGGTTCCTAGGACCCAAATGCTCCTCTTTTGTGGTAACTTCCATCTTTTTCAACTTAAAACCCATCCCCAGTGGTGCAGAAATTCTATGACTCACAAAGGATTTGGTGGCGAGATCCCAATGGCCATTTTCAACCAGATATATGTGGTCTGCTCCTCCCACCTTCACCTTCTTTCCTTTGAGACTACCTCAGAAAAGAAACCTCTACAATCCTGGGTAAGGAAAGGCTCAACCCTGATATATTGCTTACCCTATGAATATGGGCCTTAGTCTGAGGACAGATTTAACAGGCAGAAGGACAATGGAGAACAAGCCAACTGGAACTTTCCAGAACCCATCTTTGAGCAGGTGTTTGGTTCTGGCACTAGCCTCAGAAGCTGGCACAGCTCCAGATCCCTGGCACTGACCATCACAGTATAACAACTGCCAAGGCAGAGCCCCTGACATGTGACTTCCCTAGGGATAAGACCTCTTTTCCCTCCTGCAATGTGGCAAACTCTGCTGGTCTGGATACAAACTTCCCTCCCTAGAGAGCCCACATCTTAGTTTAGGGAATCATGGTAATGTTTATCATTAGTTTCTCTTAGGGATAAGAAAAAAAATTATAAAACTTTTCTAAGAAGGCCTCAGCTGCCAAAGAGTTTGCCAAACTAAGTAGGAAGGAACGAGACAATTGATTTAAGAAGAGGACTCTACAAGACTCTTCAGAAAACATGACTCTCTCTCTGCCAATCTAGTCAAGTTTAACAAATATTTACTGATCATTTACTGTGGTGTTCAGGACTGTGTAGATGCTGGGGCATAGTGATCTCCCTCTGGTTTTTTGCGATATTAGGGTTTGAACTCAGGGCTTCACGCTTGCTAGGCAGGTGCTCTATCATTTGAGCCACTCCACTGGTCCAAGTTATCTCCCCTTTTGCGGTTCATATTCAAGAGGGGAGATCAATAACAAACATATGGCCAATTAAAACTCATAATTTAGCTGGGTGCCAGTAGCTCATGCCTATAACCCTACTTGGGAGGTTGA